CCCCACCCCACCCCCCGCGCCTTCAGAAGGGGCTACAGCTTCAAAAACACAAACATAAAGACAAAGAAAAAGCTCTCATGCTTTCCTAACCTGTCAAGAGCTTCTTTGAAGCTTTTTCTCTGGACGTCAAACTGGAAGATGGTCCTCTCGCAGTCGGTGGAGGCGTTGTCGCTCCCACCGTGCTTCTTGAGGAAAGCATCAAAGCCGTTCTCTGACGGGTACTTCTCGCTGCCCATGAACACCACTGGAATACAACGGGGAATAAAAGGAAAATAGAGCAATCTAAACAAAAAATAAAGAAAAAAAAAAAAAACAGAAAAAAAATATCACAAGTACTCACACACAGATGCTTATTATTTGTGGTTTTCTTATTTATGGGGACAGTGAGCCAAACACGGTGTGACATTTTTATTTTTTCTCCAATCCTAACAGAAAATGATAGCTTTGTTTCAGATCGGGCTGCACAGACGGCTCTAAATAGTGTTGTGAACATTTGGTGACAGTTTGGATGACAGACTCGGAGAATGAGCAAGGCTTTCCTTTCAGACTAATCACTCGAGAACAATGTTCAGCAATCTCTGCTGATAGTAGCATCAATATCATAAATTGCAATTCAGACGACTTGTGACATTGTATTACAAGGTTTTTTTGGGTTTATTTATTTTTTTACTGTAAAATTGGGTTTCTCTCACTGAATGCAGGTAAGTCATTTTCAGGTTTCTGGTTGGGGGGGGGGGACATGAAGGCTGAATTGTTAAAGGGATCCCTGATTAATTGTAACATTGACTTTATTTGATAAACATATATTTTAACTGTGAAACAAAGACTGTAAAAATACTGTAGCTTGTTTAGTTTAAAAATATATTGCACGGACGGGGCCATTTTATTTACATGCAAAGCATTCTGGGTAAATGATGACGTGGATAGGTCCTCAGTGTGAGGCTACTAGCGAGCTATATCCACCCTGAAGGTTAATCTTGGACAATATCTGATGATCGACTCTTTTAAATGAAACCAGAGAGCGTTGACAGAGAGGAGAAGGTAGAAATGACTCAGCCTGTTACTGAAAATATAGATGGAGGACCTCAGTTTAGCTTGTTTGTCGAGCTAGCACTGAGCTAATACATGTAAGTCAATACAGCATCAGCGCTAGCGTGAAGGCTAACGGGCTAAGCTGAGGTTCTTCTTCCATGAAGCAGCTCTGTTGTCTTCCATCTATATTTTCAGTTCCAGGCTGAGTCATTTCTACCTTCTCCTCTCTGTCAACGCTCTCTGGTTTCATTTAAAAGAGTCGATCYTCAGATATTGTCCAAGATTAACCTTCAGGGTGGATAGAGCTCGCTCACACCGAGGACCTATCCATGTCATCATTTACCCAGAATGTTTTTTGTGTAAATAAAATGGCTCCATCCATGTTAAATTTTTTTTTAAAAATTTACAAAACTAAACAGCCTACAGTATTTTTAAAGTCTTTATTTTACAGTTAAAATAAATGTTTATCAAATAAAGTCTAATGTTACAACAAATCAGGGATCCCTTTAACCAGCACACAATTCCCAGTAGCTTTGAGTTCATGCACAGTGGGTAAAAGTATTCACCCCTCTTGGTAATCTTTCTGTTGTGTTGCCTTACAACCTGGAATTTAATTGGATTTTTTAAATTCAAATGGAAGGAATGATTCCCCAAAAATACTCCAGATTGAAGAAGTTAAATGGAAAACCAATAAGATTTCAAAAATATAAAACTGAAAAATTAGGTGTGCATATGTATTCACTTCTTTTGCTTTGAAGCCCCAACAGTTTTCTTCATAAGCCACATCGTTTCTTAATAATACCAGCCTTCAGTATCAACCCCAATAAATAGTGAGGGCTGCCACCAAGCAGGAGACATCATCAAGACCACAGACTTCTCCACACAGGTCAGAGACGAAGTTATAGAGGAAAAACAGATCAGGATTGTGTTAAAACAAATATCCCAGAACCCTGAATATCCCATGAAGCATCATTAAATTCATTGTTAGGAGATGGAAGGATGACAACATCACAGCAAACTTGTCGAGAGAGAGTCGACCACCACAACTCAAGACTTGGACAATGAGGGCATTAATCAGAGAAACATGCAGAAATCCATTATCATCCTGATGGAGCTGAGATGGGTCTGTCCACAGGATCACTTTAAGCTGCACAGAGCTAAGTACCATGGAAGAGTGGCAGGGAAAAGTTATTGCTTGAAAAATACAAAGGACTGTTAGGAAATTTTTCCCCAAACMTGTGTAAGGTGCTGCGGTCAGATGAGTCTAAATCTGACAATTAAAGCCATCAAGTATGACACCATGTCTTAGGTCAGGGGCGTCCAATCCTGGTCCTCGAGGGCCTCTGTCCTCCATGTTTTACTTGTTTCTCTGCTCCAAAAAAACTGACTCAGGGACTGAATCACCTCTTCAAGTTCTYCAGAAGCCTGATAATCACCTGTTCATTCAAATCAGGTGGGTTGGAGCAGAGACACCTCTAAAACACACAAGACAGTAACTCTTAAATACCAGGACTGGACACCCCTGTTTTAGGCAAATCTTATGGTTCCTACAGTGAAGCATGGTGGTGACAGTGTCATGCTGTGGGYGTGTTTTCCAGCAGGGACTGGACTCAGCTGAGGCAACACTCCAGGGYTCTAAAGACAAAAGCTGCCTCTCCACTGAAGTCTCACTCCASTCGGTTCATGTTATGTTCTTCTCAAGTGAGTCTCCAAGGAAGTGAGTCCTGCGGTGTGTGGGTGGATCATCAGCGGACATCTTTGGCTGTTGTGTTCTTTTATCGACTGGTAGTCAGATTTCATTTTAAAAAATGTGTCACACACTGTTTATAAGTGCGGGTGTAACAGTGGGCAGRCAGTTTGTCTGAAATCTCCCGGTACAGACAAAAAGGCACCTCTGCACCTCTCTCTACGAGGACTTTCCAACTTCCACCTTGGCTCAGTCAATCCACAGGCAGCAGCCTGATGATGTTTAAATCCCTTGCACGCAATACTGTACATAGCTTGAGCCACCTGGAACCATGGTTGAGGTGGATCCAAACATCGCGCAGGAACTGGAATTGGAGACACATTTGGCTGATGCTGAATCAATGAGAAGCGCTTAAAGCCACGCCCGTAGAAAAGGGACTAAATGCCCTGGAATATTCCGGTCAAAGTTTGACCATAATCCAATGGAGAATCTTACGTTTGATTCAAAGATTGTTGGACTCAAGCAGCAGCAATCCAACCTGAAGGAGCTGGAGACGTTTGGACATGAAAGAACAAAACGTTCAGAGAGTAGATGGACACGGATCATGAAGACAAACCTGAAGAGACGTGATGCCGTAACTGCTGAGGAAGCTGTCTCCACACAAGATTGAGTTTTAGGGGCCTAATACATATATGCACGGCATTTTTCAGTTCTGTATATATTTTTTAATTGTTTACAATTAATCTCAAGTATCAATGGAGAATGATTCCATTTAATCCAATGAAATTGCAGGTTGTAGGGCAACAAAACTGAAAGACTTCTAGGCCCTGTACATCATATGAGGTAAATTCATGCTTTAATGATTACATCATCATTTTATCATCATCATAATCAGGTTACACTGTGATCTTAACAGAATCTCATAATCGCATTTATTAAAACATTTAAATACTGTTAATGATCAACATGATGCATGTTTGTGGAGGGTTGTTTGTTTAAATGGGTATTTTGCAGGTAATGTGTTGGATGCAGAACACAAAAAGCAGGCAAAAAAATGGGTCAAAAGAAACCCCAAAGCTCATTTTGTGCCTTTTGCCCCCACCCTGGGTTACTGTGGCCTGAGGAGAGGTTATTCTGGGTTTTGTCACATAATGTTAACAGATCTTGACCCAGACAAAACCAAATAAGGAGACGCACAAAACAAATGCCACACAACATAACTAGTATATAACTGGTAAAGRGTGAACAAATATTAAGAGTAAACTGGCAAAGAAATTAAAAATATATCGTGTTCTGAAGACAGGATGAACCTCAGGATGCTTTTCATCAAGGTCAAGGAAAAAAAGGGGGACAGGGAGAATTTCAAGGAGCATCACTCTGCAACGAAAACTCAACCTGACTTGCGTTTAATCTCTGATGTGGGTCTGCAGCGGCGACGCTACAGTTGCGTTACGAGAAATGAGCTCTTTAAACGGAAGATTACTCACACTCTCCTTCCAGTCAGGATTTGCATCAAGGCCCATAAGTACAACAGCATCAAATAACAGAGCATCATTTAAATCCTGCAGCTGAAGGGAACTGTCCAACAGTTATCTCAGTTCATTTCTTAGAGGACAAACTGTGTTAGAGGAGATACCAAAGGAAGGATTGAATCCACTTTCCTTAACATTTACAGGAATCGACCAGTTTCTATAATTGACTCAGAGTGAATCCATCCCAGTTCACTCAGTTATGAACCAAAAGTTCTTTAACTTGATGTGTACTTCCTCGTTTCTCTCTTTTCTTTTTTTTAATCTAAAGTTTTAGTTTAACAGAAAAGAAAACAGTTTTTTTTCTCCAAACTGCCATCAGTCTGGAGTTCAATGGAGAGCACAGAAAATGACTCAACTCTCAAGGATTAATTACTCACTGTGTTCCAGAAAGTGAGCGAGGCCGGGGAGATCGCCGGGGTCACTGAAGCTGCCCACACCGACACAAAGCGCCGCGGCAGACTGAAACACAAAATCAAACCATCTTTTAAACTGCCAAGGATTAACAAACACGCACGCTAACGCTCGGGCCGACTCAGTTACAAGTTCTTTTCTGTGTGATAWTTTCAAAACATCGCTTGGGAGAAAAAAAAAACCCATAAAAGCAACAAGTAGATAAAGCAAACATGATTATGTAAGAAGACAAATGTCTATAGAACGGAATGCTAATATGCTTTTTTTTTTTGTCATAAAAAGGTTATTTATGAGATACGTTCTGTTGCGTACGTTCCACTGGTTTATTAATCCAACCCTGATTGACACACAGAGAAATGATTAAACTCATGACTGATTTAAAATCAGATTTAATTAAACTGGAGCTTCTRGAAGGAGTGAATATCTCCTGCCACTTTAAATGCCAAAGCTTTACCCAAATAGCTCAAATGATCTGTGAAACGACACAGTTGGAGGCATTTTMGTCAAACCTGCAACACAAGATGTCACCATCAGAGTAAGTGTTAGAGATGACTCATCCACTAACACAACTAATCTAAGCCCAATYTTTGTAAAACTGACTGGGTTAAAGCCATTTTTGTGTTTCCRAGGCTTGACGAGCTGTGACGGCTGTTTTGAACTGGGTTATCTCCAAAGGTTAATCAGTTGTATGTAGAAGTACATCCAATGACTTCTTCATGAGTTTCAGTGAAATCTGCCCAGTGGTTCATGAGACAGTCTGCTAACAGACAAACAAGGTTGACGCTGATAGCGTTGCCAAAGTTTTAGGCAAAGACGTTGTGTAATGGTTAGCACTTGAAGTGTGTTATGAATTAGTCTCAYCTACTACCACTTGGACTTTTAGCTGTGTGTGTAAAGCAGACGCAGTTATAGTCATGGCTGTCTGTCTTGTTTGCTCCTGCTCCTGTGGTTGGTGCCTCTTGGTCAGGTCGTCATTGTAAATGACTAACCTGTTTAAATAAAGGTCAAACAAATAAATAAATCATATTTCTATAATTATGTTGACTCTAAAAATTAATCAGAGTTGTAAAGTAACTAAGTACAAATACTTTGTTACTGTACTTAAGTAAAGATTTTGGTTATCTGTACTTTACTTGAGTAATTATTTTTCAGCGTACTTTTTAC